CACTACAATTCAGAACTGAGAGTTGGGAGGTCAACTATACTACTTCTTATTCAAGCTGGTGTTATCATTGTTAATGACAATCTGACTTTTTTTCCAGTACTAATTTTGCTTTGTCCATTAAGTTCGTGAATTAAATACCAACACATTTTGCTGGTCAGAGACCAGCTGACAAACACCCAGAAAAACCTTCGAAACGATCAGTGGTCCAAATATTTACATTTTGTTTGCACTCATACAAATAGTATATAAGTACATTCTTAAAAAATTCAATCACCCGGCCAGCCCTGTGGCGCACTCGGGAGAGTGTGGCGCTGGGAGCGCAGCGACGCTCCCGCCGTGGGTTTGGATCCTATATAGGGATGGCCGGTGCGCTCACTGGCTGAGCGCGGTGTGGGTGGCACCACACCAAAGGGTTGCGATCCCCTTACCAGTCATGAAAAAGACAAAAAAAAAAAAAAAAATTCAATCACCACAAAAGTATAAAATAAAAAGTCCCCTTCAACATCTCCTCTCCTAAGCTCTCTTTCTTTGGTTTATTAACTGTTTGGTATATATCCTCTCAGATATTTTTGTATATCTGTAGAAAGAATTACTATTAACTTGTCTTCTATAAATTGGGATCCTGCTATACATGCTGTTCTATTTATTGCCTTTTCAACGTATCAAAGTATCTTGGAGAGCTTGTGTGTATCTGTAGATGTAACCCAGGAGTTGGCAAACCACGGTCTGTGGGCCAAATTCAGCCCATAGACTATTTTTGTAAATAAACTTGCACTGGAACACAGCCACGTTCATTTTTTATGTATTGTCTGTGATTGCTTTCATGCTTTGAAGGCAAAGTCAAGCAGTCATGACAAAGACCTGATAGGCTACAAGGTCTGACATACTATTAGTCACACTCAGAATAAGTTTGGCAACCCTTGACCTACAGTATTCTTTTTAGTATTGGCCCTACATTTTATTAAGGAATAGTTAGGTTACTTTCAGTTATTCCACATTATGAATAATGTTACAATGAGTAAGTACCAAAGATTACATTTAAAGAACTCTTTTTATAAGCCACTGTGTAAACAACTCAAGAAAGGTGCCTGGCACATATCAGTACTCAATAAATATTTGTTGACTAACTGCTTTTGAATGAATCACAATACCAAACACAGAAGCTTGCGGAATTCAGGCAAATGATCTTTGCTAAATGACTTCACTTAAGATCAGGGACTCAAGCATTTATTGATAGTTAAATGTAAAAAATAAATACAGTGTGAAGTCATCAAGGTTTCATAGACTATTTACCGAGCTCTCCCTTTAAAATCAAAGCAGACAACGGAGTGGAAGCCGTTTTCCTCCTTCATAAACAAATATAGATCTGAAAAATATGTGATGATACAGAACGCTGAAATATTTGAAAAATCTCCATGAAGACCCTTCAATGACTATTTCTATTCTTCAAGTTTCATTTGGTTATTTTTCGAATCTACTGCTTAGTTATGTCCTGTTCTTCCACTATGGATGCTATTTATTTAACCTTTTAGTAATTTTCAACATCTTATCTTGCCTGTGTATCTCCTAACTCATCTTCATGGTGGCTTACTTCCTTATGTGGTGCCTCTGTATTTTATATGGTAAGCTCAGCTTCACAGGGCTTTTTCTTCCCTTCTATGGTGGACTCTGGGTATACTGTCTTATCAAAGTGACCCTATTCTGTATTTGCTTCAGCCAGGGTTCCTCAAGGTCTCATCATTCCTAAACTGGGATTTCACTAAACCTCTTGTGAAAACTTCTTAGCTTGGGGTTCCAGCACATATGAATGGTGTAAATTTGGACCCCAGATTCATGCGTGATGCCCGTTCTCACTCAGGGTCCTGGGAAGCTTACAAGTTTCCTTGCTGCTTCTGAAAGCCCGTGGGTGAAATTTTTGTAGGTCCTTCATCATGTATGTTACAGTGTTTAAAGCAATTGTTTTATTTAAGGGTATCAGTTCCAGTTCCCACTATATATCCTGAGCCCACCTGTCCTCTCCTCAATTGAGGGGATGCTATTTACAGCTCTGATTTTGAGTTTCCTCAAGCATTTTCCTTTTGGCAGGTTCAGCTGAGCATTTATTTCTTTAAAAAATTATTTTATCCAGCATTTTTGTTTTATAGCAAAAAGCAGGTGTCCAGTTTGCTTTACTGATGAAGTTCCTTGAATTATCAATTTCATACTGCCAATATACACTTCCTGTTTTTCTGAGGTCAGTGCTCCCCAAATGAAGAACAGACACTTTACAGGGGAGATGTGCAAAATGATCCCTTGGAATACAGAAGGGAAATTTTACAGCTGTTATTTAAATTGACTTTTTAACTTAAAAGAGAAATGGAGCTAATATATATATAGATTGATATACTGGTGCCTCACCCAGTCTTTGTTAGACAGCTTCACTTTATGATACTAGCGGATTCTGGTGGGAGGAAGGGTGTTCTCACTTGGGGGGTGGGCAGGGATGTGTAATAGTGGCACCTTTTCACATTTTTTACATTCAGTATATTGTGATGAATGGAAATACATAAGTGCCCAAATTAAGTGGGCTTATGGATTATATTACCTGGTTTCGACTAAAACAAAATGAAAAAGAGTTTTACTAATTCCTTCAAAGAAGCCATGAATCAAAGGCAATACTAATCATACTAGTAACTAAGTCAGAAAACAAAAAAATGGCAAATCTGAAACTTCTCTTATTCTTAGAATGAACTCTTTGTAAGCATAGTAGGACTCACATGACTTACGTTAAAAATATATATCCTGTGTGAGTATGCTAATAATGTCTTAATGATAAATAAATAAGCTAAAAAGTGCTTGGTGACTACTGCTTTAGGCAACCAAGTTATCCCAATACTGAGAAGCTAACTATGCCCAGTGGCTAAAAAACTAAACAGTGAACATTCAACTGGTGTCCTAGGAAAGGGTACTATTAAACCTGGGTCCAAAATAAAAACATTGGTGGAGATAGTGAACAGTGATAGTCTCTTGCTTCCTAGAGGCCACATGAAACTTATTAGTATGCGATAGTAATTCTTAATTTTCTGGTAAATCACATATGAAGGATGACATTAATGTGTGTGATCTCTGTCCGTGGGGATGCATAAAGATTGAGATTAGAGCTCCCATGGTTTTTTGTTCGTTCTAAAAATAGGACAGTAAGACAAATAGGGTTGCAGACTATTTGGGGGATATAACATATCCACAAAGATCACTTTACAAGAGTATGAGTGACAAAGGCAGTCATTTAATGAAGTCACAGAAGCTGTAGCATAGATAAGACATGCTGCGGGTTATGTGCTAGCTTTAACTCCATTCCTCCTCTTTAAATCAAGAAAGGAAGTGAGTGGAAATTATTATTGCAGTGACTTTGAATCTGCCTAAATAACCTTTAAAAAATTTCAATAAGTTAAATATTTTTTAGTAACAAATTACTTGGGATACTCAACACAAATGACTGAAAACAAGATGTCGTGACATCACAGTCATCTGAGACTTGCTCGTTGGAGTCTGAATTAGTCACTATTTTGTCTGAACTGGCTACAGTTATAACATGATGCTAATCACCTCAGCCTTCTAGGTGACCGGGCTGAGCCTGGGGTGGTTGGATCTCCAGAATGGTGACCTCTGACCACAAACAGCCTCTTTGATTTACCTTGCTGTGTTCTACAATTATCACTACTTTGTATGTGTGCCACAACAACACTTTGAGATGTACTGCCTTATAGCAAGAGTTTACAAACTAGGCCTACAGGCCAAATCTATGGCCTGTTTTTGCATTTGAAATGGTTTTGAAAAATTTATAAAGATGAACATTACATGATACACAAAGATTTTATGAAATTCAAATTTCAGTGTCCATAAATGAAGTTTTCTTGGAACCCAGCCATACTCATTGGTTTATGCATTATCTAAGGCTGCTTTTGCACAGCAACTGCAGTTCAGTAGTTGTGAGAGATCGTATGGCCCATAAAGCCTAAGATATTTGTTATCTGGTCCTGTACAGAAAAAGTTAACCGATTCCTGTCTGAGTTTCTTTTGTCAAAAACAGGCCCATGCTCAGTTAACAGACTTGGCTTTAGGTGGTTTTAAGCAGGTCAGCAACAGGTCAATATGGAACATCCCTGCACATGCAGGTCCTCTCCCTCAGCAGTCACCACTACTGACTGGTGGTAAATGGCTGAAGCACATACCAAAGTACTAGAATAAAAAATGAGCACATGTGATCTAACAAGGCACTGCTGGGTAGCTTCAGGGTTTGAGGCTACAAATAGTTGTAACGCTCACACAGACTTTGGAATAGGGAGTGGTTTAGGGACAACAGGACAGAACAGAGTTGGCCTTCCATATCCTTGGGTTCCGCATCAGTGGATTCAAACCAATTAAATCAATTCAAATCAATTTTTTGATTCAAATCAAAAAATATTTGTGGGGGGAAAAAACCAATAACAATGCAACAATAAAAAATAATACAAGTAAAGAACAAGTACAATACAACATCTATTTACATAGCATTTATATTGTATACGGTATTGTAAGTACATCTAGAGATGATTTAAAGCATACAGGAGGTTATAACACTAAGGTCAAGGGTTCAGATCCTCATACTGGCCAGCCACCAAAAAGTAAATAAATAAAATAACATATATAGGAGGATGTGTGTAGGTTGCACACAAACACATTGCTTTATATAAGGTACTTAAGCATCCACAGACTTTAATATCTACAGAGGTCCTGGAATCAATTCCCCCATGGATACCACGGGATGACTGTATTTGAAATTGGGACTGTTTGAAAAATATATAGGCTAGATGTTATACACCCAGAATTTATTTCTCCAATGATGTTAAAAAGGATATAAAAAGGGCTACTTCTCCACATAAATGAGGAACAGATAAGGAGTGGGAGGGACACGAAACTAGAAAGGAGCCTTCCGAGCCCACACAGTTCCACGTTACAAGAGGAATAGGAGTGTCTCTTACTTGCACAAGTGTAGGCATCTTTGCTGGTGAAAGGCTTCATGCACTGGCTACAGCTGATGGGACCCACAACAGGAATGGAAGTGAAAGTGTGCCCGTTGAGAGTCTTCTTGTCTTTCTCCTTCTCTTTAGAATCTTTCTCCTTCTCCTTAATTTTATCTTTCTCTTTTTCCTTTTCCTGCCAAAGAAAAGAATCAACAGTCAATTGAACACTGGAAGGCCTTCGCCTTACCTAGGCACCCATTTGTCATGTGGTCAACAGTGGTGGGTGAGGGTTTTGGACAAAAGTGAGAAACAATGTTCTGAGCAAAATTTTTTTAAGTTGCATACATACAAGTTACATAGGAAAAATCATACGAAAGCTGCATGAGTTGAACGGTTCTGGCAGTGGCTTATTCAGTGATAGACAATGCCCAAGGACTAACTCTGGAAAAAAGCTTCTGGTACAGGGGCAGGAGGAGTCTCCTTAGTTAGCCACAGCACAGCCCACATAGGAAAAAAGTAATGAGTCTAGGGCCAGCTTTAGGAAGGGAGAAGAAAGGAGAGTAGCAAATCTGGGATCAGCTTGAGGGACAGGAAAGATAATTTGTGCTCGAAAAGTTACTCTGAAGCTCCTATCTTTCTCACCCCAGTCGCACATCCCTAAACAAGGGGGTGTCTATGATGTTTCCTCTCTTACTCTAGCCAGAAATATTAAATATACCCTACATATACATTTTCAGTTTTTATTAATTAGAATTTCAAGGTTTATGGATGTTAACTTTGGCCTAATTTTCAAACTGGGAGGAGGTTGATGAGAGGAGAAGGTGGAAAACCACACACTGGCTAAGAATATGAACAATGGAGTCAGACCTGGTTTCAAATCTTGATTCTATTACTGCTACTTACTAATGGTGTGACCTTGGGCAAGTTATTTCTCTGAGCCTCAGTTTTCTCATTTGTAAAATGGGAATAACAACAAAGGAACCCATCCCATATGGCTTTTCAAAAAGAATTTGGTGAGACAATACACATGAAGCTTTTTGCACAGTACCTGGCACTTAGTGAGCACAAAATAGCAGCAACAGTTACTAAAATAAATGTTCATAACTCACTGACAATGAACTTCATTAGCTTATTACTCTCCTAACCCAATGTAGAAATACGTTGCTTGCAGTGAGGGAAAGGAAATTTTGATTTGAGGAGGGAGGATAAAAGAAACTGGGGAGTAGCAAAAGGACAATGGGCAGAGCAAGGTGGAAAGGAGGTACAAGACAGAGGAGAGGAAGAAGCCTCATTAATAATGTTCCCAAAACCACCTTGTTTGTCTTCTCAAGCTAGTTACCAAAAGGAGTCGCTTCCTTTATGAAAATGGGATCCCAGAGAAAGTAAGTCCCAAGGCCTAGTCACTCTCTCCTCTGCCCTGAGGACCCAGGAGCACAGGAAGATAGGAAAAGTAGGCAGAGTGTCTCTAGTTTAGAGACAAGGCTTCCTACGACTTGCTCTCTGATCTCTCTTGCGAAGCTCCCTTCTTTTCCTGTGGTCTTGTCTCACCTGTCGAGAGGGACCAGGAAATGGATATTTCTTATGTTTACTATGCATCCAGCCACTGCACGAGGAGCTTTCTGCTGACTAAGCAGACCACAACTGGGCCAGGGACAAAGCTCAGTGGACACTGGTAAAGGAGAGATAAGATTGGGTTGGGGGCAGGGATGGGACTGGAGTCAGAAGCTCTGAGCACCAGACTACCCTGGCTGTATCACCTCAAGATCAATACAGGAATGTCAGAAATGCTTTAAAGACTGACTGACACAGAGGACTTTCATATGACATCAAGCCTCAATCTACAGGAGTTGTTATAAAAGCTTATACAGTTGTGAAGAGGAATGGAAAGAAATTTAAAGCTTGAATACTGATGACTGCTAGAACCTTAATAAAATATCTCAAGTAGTCAGGGACATTTCAGGTGGACACTAACCTTTGTCGGCTAGGACCACTGGGGTATATAACCAAGCTCTCCATAAAAGGTCCTTTAGAAGCATTGTTCAGCAGAACACTCGGCTGGCTAATCAGTATGAATGGAATAATTTCCTTTCAAACCCACTAGACTACAAAGGACCACAATTCACAGAAATAGGAATTTCACTTATTGCCACATACAATTGTTATAATCTAAAAAAATTCCTAGAAAATAGATACCACAAAATTAGTGATCACAACAACTACAGAATGCCTTATATTTTGAATCAATGACTTCTTCCTACATTACTTCATCTGATTAAAAAATTCTGAAGTGGGCTGGATGGGCATTATGTTTCCCATTTTACAATTAAGAGGATAAAGATAATAAATAACAGCTAAAATTCTGAAGTTACTATGTGCCAAGCACTGTAATAAACAATTTACATGTATTTTCACAACAGCCTAATGAATTAAGAACTAGTTACTATCTCCATTTTACATTTGGAGAGACTGAGAATTAGAGATGTGTAATAATGTATTTGAGGCCACATACCAATATTTGCCCAAGATGGAATTAAGATTCAGATCTGGCAGACTCTAAAGCTCAGCTCTCATTTACTACACTATACTGCCAAGGGCTGGAGAGGTCCACCGACTTGCCAAAGGGCACTCAGCAAATGATCAGCACAGTCAAAATTAGAACCCAGGTCTTCTGATTTTCTGTTCAGAAGCCATCTACTATATTGAAATGGCAAATATTTGCTAAAACTATGATTCATGTGAAGTCCTGTTAGTAGAATACATGTAACGAAAGTCTAAGAGGCGAACTGCTACACTTTCGAACTATAAAAAACAAGAGAGGAAGGGAGAAAAAACAAACGACTTCACTTTACAAAACAGGAAATTGTTCTGAGTGAACATTAGCTACTGCTAAATACGTAAAACTAATAAAAATCAATAACAAAATTTGAGTTTTTTCAAATAATTTCTTTAACTAAATTTTGCTAAAGGCTTCCATGCACAAAATGTCAAACTGAAAAGCATCTGATTTTTTTCTCAAGAAAGCTAATGCATGCTCCAATAGTTTAGCAAAATCTGGCAACGAGCTTATTCTCACAGGTCTGGCAAAGGTCTTTGAATGTGAATAAATAATATTTTTCTCATCCTTTGCAATAATCCAAACTAGTTCTTCCAACGATAAAAACAAAACAAAATGATAAACTCTACTGTCTCCTTCTGTACTTATTAGAAATTAGTGCTTTAAAGAAGTCAGGCTCTTACCTCCCCATGTTTTGATCCCATGAATCCCACTGTTATGAGGGGTAATTCATGAAACCGACCCCATTTTACCGACATGATTCGACCCCCATGCCAGGAAATGTGCTCTCACGGAAGGAGGGGCTCATGCCGCCAAGGCAAAGCTCAGCTGCTTTGAGCTGCCATTAGCCAAACAGTAAGAGGAAGCCAGAGACTGGTTGAGAAAGGGAAGGAGGGAGGGCTGAGGCTGCTTGTTTCCTTCAGACAATCTTAACTATTTGAATGCTGCTGGTAAAGTCAACCACCCTAGTTACAAAGGACATAGGAAAGGAAACAAAACTAATTTCCCAAAATACAATGTGTGTGGATAGTTCTCAAGTTGTAATATGGGAAGTCTGGCAAGGATGAAAGCCAAGTTTTTAATACTAGAAATTTCGTTAAGGAACTCATCTATTTAAAACAGACTCATTTTATAGAAAGCAATGAGTTTCATAAGAAAACTTTTTAGTGAAGTTGTCTGTGGTAAAGGGGTGACTAGTTGTTTTCTGAAGTTTGACTTTTTCATGTTAAACTGCCAAAATGCTGTAACTGTGCTGGAGAAACAGAAGCTAACAGTATTTAGAAGGGAAAGATGAAGGTAACAACTGCACTAGGATACTATGAAAGAAAATGATTTTTTATTTTTCTAGACCTACTTTTAGACAAGTAACCACAATTTTTAAAAAATCAGAGACACTCTAGACAACTGTGAAAACATGATGTGATTAAACAGCTGTCATGTTGTAGATCTTTAATCAAAGAAGGAACGAGAGAGAAAATTATATTTAACATTGACTTACGCCTCTGCAAGCACCACCCTACTGTAGCAGGCACCTTGGAAAGGCTGATGGGTATAGCTTTTTTTTTTTTTTTACACAGAGCACAAGAACTAGGAGTTGGAGCTGACTGTCTAGTTATAAAGTCATGTTAGTGTATTAGCAGGTGTGCAGGAATTTAACCCTTGGGCACCAAAATACCTACTTCAAATTAGATTAAGAATTTATCTAAAACATTTCTAACCATCTCCTAGTTGTTGCAAAGAGGAAAACTTAGCAGAAAAAAGAAAACCAGTGTGAGAGAATGGTTTTAAAAGGGTCACTCCACTCTCTTTACTAAGTTGAATATTATGCATGAGTGTTTAAATACTCTTTAACAAGCAAACTTACTTAGCAGGAAACAGTTCTATCTGTCAAAGTTACTAAGACAAAAGCAGAAACTTCCAGTCTTCCTGTTACGCTTCCTGTTTAGCACCTCTTTCACAAAAACATTCAGTACAGTGTCTAATACCTTATGCCAGATATTGATAATTCTCAAAAGGACACATGAAGAATCAGCAACTCAATTTCTTAAATTTATGTATATAAAACCAGTGTGCTACAGGCAAAATATGTTACCCAACATGTGAGGAATTTGCTGCCTAGTGGCTTACTTTTGGCTCCTCTGAACATTGTTTAAGAAATGTTTAAGATCAACACTGAATACACTTAATGTGATATATCTAGGTTAGTAACTTATAAGGTATTTTCATATAAATACATCTATCACGCATAAGGAAAGCAGAAATTTCCAAACCACTCTTAGACACTTTGCTAAGAATTATAGGTGGCATTTTGATATAATAGTCAGTAAATGCTTAAATTTTTCCTTTAAAAGAAGTAGGCATGGCTACATTGTACAGTAGACTAATAAAACAAGTAGATCAGATGGTCTCTCATAGCATCTATTTTTAAAATTGTTTAAAAGAAGTGAGAATTTATCATTTTTGTAGAAAAATCGGTGTTAATATCTATCATAGCACTTTCAAGTTTTTAACATTATGGAGAAGTAACATTATTCACTAGTTAAGAAAAAGAGTAGAGTTAGCATCATCGCACTAAGAAAATTTAATATTCATTTATTTTTGCATTATTGTTTGGAAAAATAAAACACTTCTGTATGGTAAAGCTCTACTGTAGATGGCAGCCTCAGTTGACCTCATGCCTCTCATCATCCCCTTGGTCAAAAATCACAAAGTAATCTAAAGTGTATCTTCAGTAGTACCATACATGTAGCACTGCATATTAACACAGGGTATTTAATATAACTTCACACAAAACATATTGCTTCACTGTTTCCTCTATTTCTTATTATCTTTTGCTACACTGACAAAAGCCAAGCTGTTCTATAGGAGATTCCCTAACAATCTTATTTAAAAGTTAGCTAATAACAACTGTGAAAAGTGACTTCTTAACATACTTGGCCACTGGGACACTCTAAACACCAGAAAATGGAAAATAGACTGGACAGGGTTATGGATTTGCAATTTTTTGTTCCATTGCTAGACAGAGCACAGCCCCAAAAGATCAAATCTTCAAGACAAGTCTGAAAGAGGAACCAATCTCAACTGCAAAAGAGTGTTAAAAGTGTTGTCATTTTGACAAAGGAGATGATCAGAGGCCAGATGTCAACTGATACTTCAACAGTTTCTGCCAGTGATGACAGATTTCATTCTAACAAAATCACCTTCTATTCTCCTCACCCCGCTCCTAACTAACTCTAGTCCTTTGAGATTAAAAAAGTAAAAAAAAAAAAAAAAAAAAAAAAAAAAGAAAAGAAAGAGAAAAAACTATGTACTGTTTAGTAACAGATTTTGTTTAAGAGTAAGCATGAAATGATGACTACTACTTGCTGGAAGTCAGACTACAAGAAGTTACGTGACTTGAAGCATTCTACTCTGTGCTTTGTAAAATACAGCTAGAATGTGCACACTTGAGGGCCTGAGAGTCTTGGTGCACTTTGTTTTGTGGGGGAGAAACAGTTCCACTTTTATGATAATATTCTTAACAATATTCTTGAGTTCAGTGTTTGTTTCCCTTACTTCTAAGTATGTTTGTATGTGTGTATGTATATGTATATACAACACAGACACATACACGTATATATGAGGGTACTTCAGAAAGTTTGTAGAAAAATAGAATTAAAAGATAATATGCATCTTTCCATGAACTTGTTGAAGTACTCTTGTACAGTGATTCCTTACAAGAGTTCCTTAACTGATTTCAATTTTTTAATTAATTAGTTAATTAATTTTGTTGAAGGGTATGTGGGTAGGTGATTAGAGTGAGGGGGAGTGGGAGGCAGAAAGTTTTTCCCCACTGATTTGGTTTAGCACTGAGAATCAGTGTCAGAAAGTTATCTTCATTCCTTCCTTTTAAAGTACATTAAAGAAAAAGATTAGAAATATAGAAACAAAAACACTAAGAGTAGTTATCTCTGTTTGGGGTTATTACAGGTTATTTTTATTTTCTTACTTTTATATTCTGAAGAATCCTATAATAAGCATGTGAAAAATTACCAAATAAAAAATGTTAGTTTGAATATTTTTATTTATCTCCTAAGCACTAAAGAGGATATACTCCAAATGTTTCTAATTAGAAATAGGTCTAATACTTCATATTAAATTAGTCTTAAAAGTTCTTGTAATTTTCAGTGGGATAATCTTTCTTCTCTCTAAACCCAAACATAAAAAGTTTCAATTCCCTGATCTTGGCATAAAATCCTTCCACTGAATTTTAAACCTGACTTACTGATCTAAACACTGCAGTTGAGAGCACAGGATCTGAAGCCAAAGGCGTCTGGGTGTGAACCTCTTTTCCACACTAGGGGCACACCCTTAGATAAGTTACCTCACTCCAAGAAAAGGGAGAAAATACCTCCCTTATGGGGTTAAGGATTAAGTGAGATAACATGAAATTTTACTTAGCATATAGTAAAAACTGAGTAAGTGGTAGTACCTCTTGCCGCTATTTTTCTTAGTGTTATTTTTCTTCAAATATTAGGCTATTTCAGAGAATAGGTGAATAGAATGTAGGGGAAGTGAGAGGCAGAAAGTTTTTTTCCCACTAATTTGAAACAGAACCAGCGTATGAAAGTAAACTTTTCTTTTTAAAATATATTGGGGGAAAAAAAGATAAGAAATATACAAACCAAAACGTTAAGAGTACTTATCTCTACGTGGAGTTATTACAGGTGATTTTTACTTTAATTTTTGAAGATTCCTATAATGAGCATGTAAAAAATAACTAGATAAAAAATGTTTAAATATATTAAATTGAACTTATCTCCATTTATTTCCCCACCATTTAATTAGTTTTGGGCTGTATGCAGGCTGAGACAGGAATCTACTCATGATCAGTTGAGTTGGTCACACAAGGAATGACCATGACAATACTTACTTTGCTCTTCTTACTGCTGGACATTTTATTCTTAATGTAGCTGAACGTACGACTGACTTTTGTTCCACTCTTCCCTTCAAAATCTTTCTTGGAAGGGCTTTGTGGCGAACAATTACAGTTCTCCTCTGTTATACTAAATAACAAACAAGAAGATTGACTTTTTAAAGGACAGAAGTTAAATGGAAAAGCAGAATAAGAGGTGGACAGAGGCTGATGAATAGTTTTATGCAATAACATCCAAGAGGCGTATGCCACACCACCAATATTCTGTTGCCAAAACCTTACATCTTATATCATCATTAATGTTGTAATTATGGATTTTCAGTAATCTGATGTTAAAAAGAGCCCGTCAATTATTCACTTACCTACAATTTCTTAATCTAAAATAGAAACTCAATCTACAAACTTCTTTGCAACAAACACATGCTTGAAAGGAAATCAGATATGAGGCCGGTCCGTGGCTCACTCGGTAGAGTGCAGTGCTGATAACACCAAGGCCACGGGTTCGGATCCTATATAGGGATGGCTGGTTTGCTCACTGGCTGAGCGTGGTGCTGACAACACCAAGCCAAGGGTTGAGATCCCCTTACCGGTCATCTTTTAAAAAAAAAAAAAAGAAAGAAAGAAAGGAAGTCAGATATGTAATGGAACGATTGGGTACTTGTTAACAAGGGTTGCAAACCAAGGAATCTTAGAACTGACTGCATATCCAAGTTCCTAAATAGGAGAGATGACACATCTTTTCTAGCCTTTTGGCACACTGTACAATCAAGACTGTGAACTGGGCCATGCAGTCACGTACAATTTTAGGAGGGAATATACTGAACAGCAGGTGGAATTGAGGCAGAAAGATACATTTCAGCAGTTTAACAAAGATCCAGATTAACTGGTCTACTTGCTCAGGAAGCCTATATAAAATCTAAGTCCATCCAAGATGAACACATTTTGACCTTATGAAATTTACAATGGTTGATTTTTCTTAAAAGAATGCTGGTCACTAGAATAAATAATCCATTATATAGAAATGACATTCATTAATTCTACTTCGCTTAGGTGTTCTAGAAAAGTTATTTTAAAGATTTCCCACAGAATAGTTGTGTTCACCTCCAGGGCCTCTGGAGGAGGGCAGGCAAAAGCAGAACCATATGGGGTCCTCCTCAACAGCTGAAGTCTATTTATATATATAAGTGTTGTTTGCAAAACAAAGCAGTCTGTTCTTAAGATAATGGGGAAATGGTATGAGTACCACTGCTCTAGAAAGAAGAAAGAATGGATAAGATATGAAAGCAGCACAAAGAGAAGCACTCATTGAGAGGGTTCTGGACCACTAAGTCACAACTGATGCTGCCTTTGTGAAAAGGAGGGCAACTTAAAAAAAAGGCGGGGCAACAATCAGAACACCAATCATGCTTGAATTATATTATTTAATTTCATAAGCATGAAAAGAGAAATATAAAAAAATAAACAATGAATCAAGAACAAAAATACTTTGCCTGCTTTCAAGTAAAAATTCATTTACTTGGACAAATCCATACACATGTACACAGAAGAAAATAGCTTTAAAGTTTAAATGGCTAAGAAGGTAACTACATGAACATATGTATATATACTAATTATGAAACAAAATGTTGTTAGACTTAGAAATTAAAAATACCCATAAGCAAAGCATGCATGAGTTCCTAAAGTCAAATACAGTGTACCCTCATGTGAATGAATATGAACAATAATCCTTATCAGGAGGACAGTGTAAAAATAAAAGTAGGGGGGTCGGCCTGTGGCTCACTCGGGAGAGTGTGGTGATAACACCAAGGCCACGGGTTCGGATCCCATATAGGGATGGCCGGTTTGCTCACTGGCTGAGCATGGTGCTGACAACACCAAGTCAAGGGTTAAGATCCCCTTACTGGTCATCTTTAAAAAAAATAAAAATAAAAAAAATAAATAAATAAAAGTAGGATACTATTGAAGATATTAATTTAAAAAGATACAGCCTTGATTACAAAACCACTTTTTTTTTTTTTTCCTTTT